CACCACTTTGATTTAAATTTGAAGTTGAAGATCCTAGTTAGTGCACTAAGAAAAAGAAAAGATGTAAGTAAGAATTGGAAAGTAAGATAAGCAACCATCATTGGCAGATAAGGTTGACAATGCCCAAAAGAATATGGGATAAATTATTAGGATTAATAAGAAATTTAGCAAGTTTACTGCAGATGAAACCCGTGTGTAAAAGTCAATTGTATTGCTAAACACTAGCAACAAATAGAAAATGTAATCTTAAAAATCATCATTTATAACAGATAAAAAACAAAGTACCTAGTAATAAGTAATACCACAAAAAAGTATAAGAATTTTTTAAAGAAAATGTGAAGATTCTATTGAAAGATTTAAATTTTTGAATTGGGAACTGCTTTATGGATAGGATAGTTTGAATTGTGCATGTTGAAAAGAAAATTCAAATTGTGAAACAATTCCATTTAACCCAGATAAATGAAACATTGGTTCAAAATAAGAAGTATATAGTCCCTTGAATTTTGGTATAAGGAGGCACTCCCTAGAGGCCATGACGTGGCTTATGTACTAATCTAGCCCCTTTGGATAGTTTTTGTTTGTATTAGCCATACAGCCAACAGGAGTGTACCACCCACTTGCTATTCCCAGTTCTTTGGGGGAACTGGTTTCTACAGAGCTACATCTTCTTGTTGGCTGCTAACCATCCTGCCAGTCAAGAAACTTCTTTAAATTCTAGGAGCCTCTTCTCACTCATAATTAAAGTTTTGTTGTGAAAGTTAAAATTTTATGATGCCCATAAAATGTTTAGCGCCTGGTAAGAGCTCAATAAATAGCTATTTGTTTAATTTTTAAAATCTTCCAGAGGACAAATTTAGGGCAACCAAATGATAACTGGAAAAATTATGGAAAAAAAAGGTTTTCAGTGAGCAATGGATCTAAATATAATTTAATTCTGATATAAATGTCAGAATTATAGTTAAACAGAAAGTATCATTTATACACTTGGGTATCGTAACATGATGATAGAAGTGAGTTTTACAAGTCACTTTTCTTCCAAATAGGATGTAGCAGACTGCAGCAGGACACTGTTCCTGCCACAACCGCCTAAAAAATGCAGAATAAGTTAAAAACATCAGATTTTAAAATATACTAGAGGGCTGCCAAGTGACTAGAACTTGTCACCTTATTTTAGGTAAATTAAAATTTCAGAGAGGAGAGGGCCATTTATAGGTGAATTGACAATCACTAGCTGTTTTCTTTTGTGGAAGCATTTGCTGATTCTAGTTATAGGCTGAGGATTGGTGTTAATCTAGGCAGAGGGAATCTACTGGGGCAAAGAAAACCCAGAGGAACTTTTGGTGGTCATTTGGGAGTACTGGGACAGATTGGAAACCAGGAGAGCCTCAATGCACGGCTGATTTTCCATGTGCGGCATTTGGTGCTCAAGACCTGCTTGGGAGGCTGTGGGGATGGGCGAAAACTTTTTAAAAGTCATGGTACTTAGGAAACCATGTCCCATGAGAGAAAAATGGCCTCCTCAAACACATGGCTAATCTCTCCCTGGAAACATTTCTCATATTTTGAAGCTGAATAACTGGAGGCAAAAAAGCAAAGCTCAGTCTCTAAAGAAATGAACTGAAAGTATTCTAGTCTTTCAGGGGTGAGAAGAAAAGTTTTCTACCAAAAGCCTGGGCTACCCCTGAGGAACAGGGATGAACCAGAGATGGAATGATTCTAAGTAAGAGAACAACCTTGCCAAGACCCAGCTCAATTTGATTACGACAATTAGATCCTCACTCTATTAGCCTAATGGAGGTAAACGGGAACTCTCACTGAAACATATCATGTGGTGGCTCTACAGTTCTTTTATACACACTGTCTGGCATAGATGAAAACATTACCAAGCATGTGAAGAGGCAGGAAAATTTGACTGATAATCAAAAGAGAAACATGAACCATTGAGCCAGACCAACAAATAATCAAATGTTGAAGTTAGCAAGCAAAGACTAAAAAAAAAACCAAAAACCAAAAACTATGATAAATAAGATAAAGAAAGTAGAGGGACAGGTAAAATAGATGAAAAGATGGAGACTTTTTATGGAAAACTGGAATCTATAAAAAAAAAATTAAATTCTAAAACTAAAAATACAGTTATTAAAAATTAAGAACACTGCATAGATTCGACAGCAGACTGGACGTCATGAAAGAGAATTAGTAAAGTCAAAAACAGGTCAATAGGCACAGCAAAGGAAACCATAAGCCAAACAAAACGACAACCTACGGAATGGGAGAAAATTTTTGCAAACGATGAAACCAACAAAGGCTTGATCTCCAGAATATATAAGCAGCTCATACGACTTAATAAGAAAAAAACAAACAACCCAATCCAAAAATGGGCAGAAGACCTAAACAAGCAATTCTCCAAGGAAGACATACAAATGATCAATAGGCATATGAAAAAATGCTCAATATCACTAATTATCAGAGAAATGCAAATCAAAACTACAATGAGGTATCACCTCACACCAGTCAGAATGGCCATCCTTCAAAAGTCCACAAATGACAAATGCTGGAGAAGCTGTGGAGAAAAGGGAACTCTCCTACACTGCTGGTGGGAATGCAGTTTGGTGTAGTCACTGTGGAAAACAGTACGAAGATTCCTCAAAAGACTAGGAATAGACTTATCATATGACCCAGGAATCCCACTCCCGGGCATATATCAAGAAGGAACCCTACTTCAGAATGACATCTGCACCCCAATGTTCATAGCAGCACTATTTACAATAGCCAAGACATGGAAACAGCTTAAATGTCCATCAACAGATGACTGGATAAAGAAGCTGTGGTATATTTATACAATGGAATACTACACAGCCATAAAAATGACAGACAGCATAACACCATTTGCAGCAACATGGATGCTCCTGGAGAATGTCATTCTGAGTGAAGTAAGCCAGAAAGAGAAAGAAAAATACCATATGAGATTGCTCATATGTGGAAAAAAAAAAAGAAGAACATAAATACAAAACAGAAACAGACTCAGAGACACAGAATACAAACTAGTGGTTGCCAAGGGGGGGGGGTGGAAAGGGACAGACTGGGAGTTCGAAATTTGTAGATACTGACAGGAATGTGTAGAATAGATAAATAAGATTATACTGTATAGTACAGGGTAATATATACAAGATCTTGTAGTAGCTCACAGTGAAAAAAAAGTGACAATGAATATATGTATGTTCATGTATAACTGAAAAATTGTGCTCTACACTGGAAATTGACACAACATTGTCAACTGACTATAACTCAAGAAAAAAATGTTAAAAAAAAAGGTCAATAGAGGGAGGGTGCAGCTCAGTGACAGAGTGTGTGCTTAGCATGTATGATGTCCTCGGTTCAGTCCACAGTACTTCCATTAAAAAAAAATTAAATAAATAAACCTAATTACCTACCCCCCCCCAAAAAACAGATCAATAAAAAAACATTCAAACTGAAGCATCAAAAGAGAAAAAAAAGATGATACGAAGTGTAAAGCACATAGTGAACAAGTTCAACTAATCTTACACATGTAATCGGACTCCCAGAGGAACAGAGACAAGAGAATGGAGCAAAAATAATACTTGAAGAAACAATGGCTGATTATTTCCCAAAACTGATGAAAGACATCAGTCTATACATTAGAGAAATTCAGTGAAATCCAAGCCTAATAAATACAAAGAAAACCACAGTAGGGCACAAAATAGTCAAATGTCTAAAAATCAACAACAAAGAAAAAACACTCAAAAGCAGCTAGAGCTTTCTCTTCAGCAGCTCCCTCTTCATGGGAGACTCTCTCCTGTGAACTCTGTGTGCTTTGGACTTCCCAGTCTCCCTCCTTTTTCCCCTCTACTCAGGGAGACCAGGATCCTCCTGGTTTCCCTACCTGTGATTGTCCTGGAGACTCTTGCTGGGCAGTAAACTGGTGCATTTGACGGTCTCATCCCATTTATTGTCTATCTCTTTGGGATCACTATTCTTCTGTGCCTTATGTCAAATGTCTTTAACTGTTGTTTCATATTTTTGTCTGGTTTTTTAGTTGTTTCAGTTGGAAGGGTAAATCTGATCTCATTATTCACTCTTGACTGGAAGTGGAAATCTTTAAGATTCAAGATTTACTTTTAAACTGAAGAAATATTCCAATCTGAGCTTACAGATCTATTATTAAAACTCAGCAATAACTACAGCAATTGTTTATAAAGAAGACTAAGAAAAGCTTTTATTTGGGAAGGAGTATCAGTGACATTGGTTAGGATTTGCTGACACGCGTATTAAAAGCAAACCACATTATAGTCGGTTTTACTATTTTTAAAATCTCTGCAGTCAATACACACCCTTATTGCTGGTACTTGGGGCACAAGTCTCCCAGCACCCCACCCTTGGTGTTCCATTGTATCCATCTGCACTCTATTTCAAATCGAATATGGCCAAAATTGAATTCATCTTCCACCATAAATCTATTATTTTTTTTCTACCTATCAGGATATTGCATTATAATTACTTATATCTCTTCCCCCCAATTAGATTGAGGGCTTGCAAGAGAAAGACTACTTCATGTTCATATTCAAATAAATGCTTGTTGAAAGAAGGGCGCTTCAACTTATCAGGCTGAAGTCAATTTTCCTCTCTTCAGAAAGAGAATGACACATTTACTGCAGACTTACTAAGCACTTGTAGGCCTGTCACTATTTGGTGGGGGCTGGGGCTACAGCGGTGAGTAAGACCGGGCTCTGCCCTCCTGGAGAAGTGTTCTCAGTTGAGGAGAGGCGGGGAAAGGCATAGCACAATTCTTAGGATTAAGATCATCATGGGAAAACCAGAGAAGAAAAACCCGGGCCAGGCCTCAAAGTGCATCCAGAGCAGGAAGGTCGTATTTCGCTTTTGGAAGCGAAAAGAGAAAGGATTAGTGGAGGGAAGCTCCATATAGTAGCTGTGGTCTGCCTTAGACCTTTGCGGGTTAAAAGATTGAGAGCAGGCGGAAAAGAAGTCTCAAACCCACTTTGCAGCTTCTCGATCACTGTTTCTACCATCTTCACGTGCTCGGAGCAGGGCGCAAGGTGGGGGCTGGTGGAGTGGACCAAGTCCGACTCCCGACGCGGGCGCCGCGACGCGTCAGACAGACGTCCGGGGACTGGAGGAGAGCGCGCCGCCGGAAGCGGAGGGAAGGTGGAGCCACTCCCCTAGACCCGGGCCCCGGCTCACTCCTCCGCCCCCTGCACGGGGCGCGGGCGGGGCTAAGGCGGAAGGGTCCGGAAGGAGATGACGATGTAAGTGAGCGCCGGCGTCGCGGCAGCGGCTCCAGAGGAAGCTCGGCGGCCGTGGCCGCTGTGAGCAGGCCGGACGCCGCCTGGCCAACGGGACTTACCCTAAAGCTGGCGAAGGCGGGGCCGCAGTCCGAGCTGCCGCAGTATCTGGACCCACAGTCGGGCAGGTGGCGGCAGCGAGGGACGTAGGTAAGCTGAAGCCCGAGTGTCAAATCCGGCGAATGCCCTACTGAGCGGGGTGGCTGGCCATTCCCGCGCCAGTGCGCGCCAGCTCAGCACCCGGGCCTGGAGGCCTCGAGGGCTGCTTTCCCCTCACGCTCGTACCAGAGGCAGCGGATTTCTCCCCGGGCGCTGCTGGGCCTTTCTGGGGGCGGGAGGGAGCTCGTTCTGAGGGACCGCTGTCCTCCCCTCTTTCTCTCCAATCTGAGCTGTACGACGTAGAAGCGGAGAGGGCTAGCGCCCCCGCCTCTCCTCCTGAAGCCGGGGGAAGCTTTGAGAGGAAGCGCTGTCGGTAGAGGTCCTCCAGCTCCTGCTGTATTGGTAGTGAAGGGGTTTTATTTGTTCGGTTAGTTCTGCTTCCTTCGTGCCTTTGGTTCTTTCTTCCACACTCCTGGGACTCTGTTTTAGTGAATAGGTCTTGCACAATTGAACATTAGGGTGGTGGCAAGTCTGTTTTTCTGTTGTCTGTGTTAGATAGTGTTAACCCAGGCTAGACTGTTTGACCACTCTTTTGGGAGAGGAGGGATGCGAAGAGGATATGGGAGGTAAGGGTTTGGACTTGGAGTCAGAGGAGCTGAGTTTAAATCCTAGCCTGCCATTTGGTAGTGGCTTTAAATCTCGTGTAGACATTGTTAACCCATGTAAAATGGAGCTTTCTTTTACTTATAAAAGTTGGGGGAATTAAATGAAATGAAGAAAGCAGAACATTAATTATGATATGTTTGGGGAATCCGGTTAAACTCGACTTCAGAATATCCAGGACACTTACTAGTAGGTTCTTAATTAATTCCGGTTTTTTAACCCGAAATAACTAAGCTCGGTATGGAGAAGGGTGCCAGAGGAGATAGTGGAATCTTGCGTGGTTAAAACCTAACTGCAGTCTCTGCTTTGAGTTGGACAGCATTAGGAAAAAACCAGCCTCTTCCTATTCACCCAGATGTCTCATGCTGATTGATAACACATTTTTGATATTCGAGGGACGACCTAAATTAGTTTTGCTCTTATTTGACGTAGTTAGTGGACCCTTTCTAGGAGGAAAGCTGGAAGGGGCTTTCCTTACACATTGGCCCACTTTAGAAGGAATTCTCTGCCCAATTTTGAGGACTCCTCACTCTGCCTCTAAAACATTTCATGTTAATTGAAAATGTGCGGAGAATAAATACAGGAATTTGAATCCTTTGAGTGGCTGGACTCTAAATTACCATTCTAAATTAATCTGAGGGGATGACTTTCTCTGTATTGGAGGAAGAAGAACATTCACCACTCTGAAGTTTGTAGTGTTTTTTTTTAGTATTTTATTTTATTTATTTGTTATTATTTAATTATTTTATTTTGGTAGTGGTGGGTCATTAGGTTTATTTATTTTTCGAGGAGGTACTGGGAATTGAACCCAGGACCTCATGCTAAGCATGCTTTCTACCACTGAGCTATACCCTCCCCCCACTCTGAAGTTTAATAGACCCTAAGTTAGAGAAGTGTTTAGGGAGGAGGAAGAGGGATGCAATCAGTGACTTGAGTGAGTAGCACCTGTTCTTAAAATTGCTTGGTCAGACAAATTAAGGATACTTTCCTCATTGGAGCATGATGATGTCAGTGGAGCCTGAAGAAGTGCAGTCTTCAGTTCCTTTGACACAGAATTGTCAGTTTGGAATTTTAAGTCATAAATATGGACAAGACCTTGAAGGTCATCTAATCCAATGGTTCCAAAACCTTGGGGGACATTAGAATCATTTGGAGAATTAAAACAAAACCCCAAATGCCCACACACTACCTTAATAGATCTAAAGTGGGACCTGGGTATTTGAGGTTTTTAAAAAGCTTCTCAGGTGATACTCATGGTTTGAGAAGGCAGATGTAGATCTTAATTTATAAACAGGCTCAGAGAGATAGTGTCATGCTTATCTAGTTGCCTTCTATGCCTTCTCATTTTTTTTCTCTTCCTTTCCTTAACAAATAACATTACTTGAATCAATAGTACTGTTTCAGGTTTTGTAGTGCCTTGCGCCTAGAAGGGGAAAAAAAATTTGTCAGTAGCTCTGTGTAATTCTGTTTTCAGTTTCCTCTGCAGTTAGACTCCTTAATGCTCTTTGATGGAAGTATTAGATTTTACAGTAGAATTTCTTACTGAATGTTGCTTAGGTTTTTGTTGTTGCTTGCAGAATTATATAGAGATCATATCACTTTATAAATCAGTTTTTAGTAGGCTATAAAAGCATAAAAGTCAAGTCTTCATAAACCAGGGGAAATTTTCAACTTAAGAATATTTAGCTTTTGTTCAAACTGGCTTGTCATAAACCCACTGTACTATACACAGGCTCCCCCCGACCCTTCCTCCATCCTGGTATGCATAACCTCTTACTTTGTATCAACTAGCCAGCTTACTATGGAACTTAGTTTAGGAACTGTTAGAGTTCTATGTCTCTAATTGCCTTATAAACACCTGATTGAACAAGAGGCTCTCAGCATTTGCTTTAAGCTTGTCCTTGAATTTTTAGCCCCTTTTTCTTTCTTAGTTAAATTGTACTATGCTACTAACTTAAAAGAATTTGGTAGCTACCTAGAAAGGATCAACTGATGGAGCAATAACAGTGCCTCATGTATCTTTCTTACCCATTTTAGTGAAAATGTCCTTTTTTTTTTTTTCCCTTAACAAAGGCACTGGGGATTGAACCTAGGATCTTGTGCATGCAAAGCGTGTGCTCTACCACTGAGCTACAACCCCCAAACCTCGTGACTCTTTTTGGGGGGAGTAGTATTTTCAGAATTATTAAGGTAATTACAGGCCATCAGGCAGAGTTGAACATTCTCTTTTTTGAGAGATATATTCATTATCAAATAATTCTTTGATAGCCTTTTCATTGCTTCAGTGATTCTCTTTTTTTTTTAAGATATCACTCTTCAGTGATTATTATTTTGTGTTAATAGTAGAGCCTGAAATGGACCCTACATCACAGATTCTTTAAAGGAAGATGCTGAATTATTTTCTTTTAAAAATGACCCTATTTATAGCATGTTAACTTCCTACAACCAGATGACAAAAGGTATTCTGAATTTGCTGATTTAAAAAGCCATGTTAACAGAGAAGCAGTCTATAAATTCAGAATCTAGAGAGATACATAGTAGGTGTATGAAATGAAAAAAACAAGTTGCTGAGACTCGTTTTTTATTTTTGTCTGAAATAGCTTAATTTTGAAGTTTAAAAATTATTGAATTTCAGATTCTGACAGAGTACAGTTTTCAAGTAGAGGTATTTAGAAAGATAAATATGAACCCAGGGTCACAATTTTAGTCTAAACTGATACATATTAAACGTAGAAACCAAGTCAGGGTGGGATAGGAACAACTTGAAGACCAGTGAAAAGTGGAGTTTAGAAGTCACTTGCTCATTCTTGAGGCGGTCTTCTCTGTCTATAAGGACTTGAGACCAGAGTTGTATACTTAACTAAATCCACTTTATATCTGGTGGCTGAATGTGGTGAGACTATCATGAGAGGTACCATAAATGTGCAAGTCTCCAGTTCTCAATCAATCTTTTTATGGTTCTTTCATACCCTCTGATGCCAGTGGGCAAATTTTCTTTTAATTTTTATTTTGTTTTTAATCTTGTTTCTTACCACAACTATTGTCTCATTTTTCTGGAGTGGGTAACCCCTCCCCTGTTTATTTACTACACAACGGCTATTCTCATTACTGTCTTATTACCTCCAGGAGAAAGAACTTTTTCATAGTGTTGCTTGAGTTAACCTGTACAGTGGCAGCATGCAAACTTTTACCCAAATATTGGGCCTCTTAAGGATTGTTCAGAGTTCAGGCTGTCCCAGGGTCAGTGAGTATCTAGTAAGAGTTGAAAGCCCAGTTCTGTTTCCCTTGTGTGTATGTTTTATCTTTGAAGGAATATTGATATTTGGTGAACATGAGCACACAACAGCATGATGGAGAATACAGGGGCAGAAATGTAAAAGGACCCCATGTGGAGGTTGCTTTTAATTTCAATCACTTGTACTGTGAGTTGATGCTTGGGATTTATTGATTTTAGGGTACACTGGCTAGACTCTTACTGGAGAGCCTTCAGTGGTAGTATCTTTATCTTTTTTCTTGGGCTAGTTGGATTTCCCAAAGAAGAGTCTTTAAGTCTCCTGCTTGGAGTTTATAAGCTGGGCTATCAACAATCTGGTAGCTAAACTGAGGAAAATGGTAGAGGTCTTAGAATTCAGTATATAAACAGTCATTTATGTACATTTAACTATTTTCAGTATGATACCCTCATTCTCAACTGGACCGGATGTTTTCCAGTCTCATAATCCTTTGTTTTATCCTTTAGATCTGTACTATCCAATATGTAGCCACTAGCCATGTGTAGCAACTTAAAAAATTAAAATTAAATAAAATTAAAGATTTGGTTCCTCTGTTGCACTAGACACATTTCAGGTGGTCAGTAACCACATGTGTCCGGAGGCTACCAAATGGGACAGAGCAGATACAGAATATTTCTATCATTGCAGAAGTTTTGTTGACCAGTGCTGTTCTACTCTAGGAAAGAACACACCAGGCTTCTGCACAGATGGGGAAGGGGCAGTTGGCTGGATTTTGTGGAGAGTAGGAGGGTATCTAAATGATTGACCCATCCTCTTGTTTTTTAGCATCATGTTCACATCACTCGTATAGAACCTGCTGTTGCCAATTCCTGACCTGTTATGAGGCACTGTTGTATAAATTGGATTGCTTCCTCGTTGCAAGCTTGACATTTTACTTTCTTACGTCTTTAAGTCAGTCCACATTCCAACTTCCTCTGTTCTCTCTTACATATGCTTAAAAAAGAAAACCCCTGAAGATTTCTGCTTTTCATTGTATGTATATTATATTTTAGAAAAAACTTTAAATTTATTTAAAAAAATAATTTATTTATTTTGTTTTTTGTTGGGGGAGGTAATTAGGTTTATTTATTTATTTAATGGAGGTACTGGGTATAG